TAATGCCCATCATTTACCATGGTTGATTGTGAAGTTAAAGGTGTTTGAAGTCTAATGTCCTTACCTGTGGGAAAAGGTGACACATTAGTAAAGCCTTAGTCTTGTCTGTGTTGCTAATATCACTCTTGGAACTCTATTAGATAGAATGCAAATCTGATAATTTTCTCTTTATAGGACCCTCCTCAAGGAGGGAGACTTGGCTTTCTGTTTGAGATGGGAGAAAAAGAAAGATGGGATATTTGTGTAAACAGAAGAATAGTTGGTAGGACATAAGGTTTTGGAGTGTTACACTAAGTAAGAACGTTTGCCTGCCTGTATTTCTTTGGTACCATTGGCCTGTCAAGTCAATTAATAATCGCTGTGTGAAATATAATTAAACTGAGGGGGTTTTTTTAATGCTGTTATTGTTCAAAATAAATTTTAACCATCACAGGGTTTGAATTATAAGATGACTGAGTGTTTTGTGGACATGGAAAACTTCTGCCTCCTGGAATCACTATATGCAGGTGTTTCTGCAGTGTTTGAGACTTAAGTTGTTTTTTTTTCTTCTCCAGAATCATCTTGCATCTGACAGACTAATAAATTTTACCCATGTTTTGTGTGTTGATCTCAGATTTGTGTTTAGATCGGCTAAAAGTGTATCTTTAGGATCAGGTCTGAACAGTTTTAATTTTATACATTCATTGACTTCTGTAGGACTAATTATATAGTTACTGTTGTGCTTAAATGTTTTTTGGCTTAGACTCGGCTAAAGTATTACTAGAAAAACTGTCTAGGAAGATCTGTACGTATTACAAGTTAGGAGAGCAGATCTGGGTTTTGCGGGGGTGTGGGCTGTTGTTTTCTTTTCGATCTAGTTTCTAAATAAAATTTTGGAATACTTTGAGCAAGCAAAAATCCAACACCAGTATCACGGATCAGCATATTTTTATGAAAAATGTTATAACGTCAAGATGAGGTTCAAGTGTAAATTTCCCAACTAAGCCTTGTATTTCAAATTCAACATGTAGTGCATGCAAAGTGTGAGTATAAAAATGATTGTACTGGATCAAATAAAAGGCCAGTCTGTTCTAGCAGCATGCCTCTGATAGTAAGCAATAATGAATGCTTAGGGAAAAGTGCAAAAACAAGGCAAACGTGATGTTAATACTATTTGACTACCTTACTGCACACTGCTGTAACCTGACAGCTTGAGCTTTTTGTTTTTCCTTTTGATCATGGCTTAAATTTATACAAGATACCTGCTTACTTCTAATAGCTTCCCCTCCAAACTCTGACTGATTTCCTAAAATTCTTCCCTTTTGAACTTTCAATATATTGTCTTTTAATCATTGTCTTACAGTCAGTAAAGACTTTACTCTTTCTGGTAAAAAGAAACTAAGTTGCAACCAACTTCTTCATATTTCTGTAGTTCCTCTTTTAAATTTAACATTAGTAATGGTGTACTTCTCACTTTTATTGTTTCTGCAGAGATAGTGAATTGAAATACCCTGTGATTGATGAGCAGTCATGGATAGTGTCTTCTATTTAGTCTTCACATAACACCCCCAATTTAGAGTTTTCCAATCTAAACTGATTAAGCAAAGAATTCCTATAATCTCACTTTTAGAGGAGTTGTCACTTTAAATCATCTGTGGTTCTGCGTTTAGCAGCTTTCCTTGCTGCTTCAGTCTATTAACCCTTACAAAACCATTCTCATTTTAAGTGCCAGCAACGTGCTTCCATTTTGATTGCAATGAAGTTTATCTTTTTTTATAGAGGAAAGCTCTATTCCAGAAGTTTCCTCCTTTTTTCTTACAATATTTTCTCAGTCATACATTGGATTATTAGTCTTCAAAAGGTACCTAAATTGCATAAGCTTCACATGTACATTTTGTTTAGCATAATGGATGAACTCATAAATTTTTTGCTCGTTGTGAAAACATTTCTGGAGTCGAAGTCATTTTTCAGTTTGGATAAAGAATAGCATTACTTGTTTTTAAAAAGCTGTAAGTACATTTGATATATGAATATTGTGGAAAACTATATACACTTCAATCTTTCTCTTTAGAAAGATCTGAACTCCTGGGGCTATTCTAATACTGTTTAGTAATGAATGAATGAAAAATTGCTTGGAGAAGTCATACTATCTTTCAACTCTTTATTTACCTTTTTTATTTTTATTATTGACAGGTAGTGGGTATCATTTCCTATTTTAATAGGACTTCTGGCTTTCATAATGGAAAAGTGGAATCCTTGCCCCACAGCGTTTTAAGGCATTATTTTCAGGGAAGTGTTTTTGACAGTTAAATATATACCAATCTCACAATATTTGTATATTTTCTTCTAATGGGAAATTGTATGGGTTTTGTATGAGGGTACACTAAGGGACTTCAACCAGACTCTGCTAATGTGATGTTTGTCAAGCCAGGCTATAAACCACAGCTGGTTTTATATTGCCTGTTGAGTACCACAGTCCTGGTCCACTCATTGTCCAGAGTAGAGAGTTGGTGCACACTATAGTTGTTGTCTGGCCCACCTCTGGGTTTTATTTCTGCAGAAGAAATGGTAAAGCTGTTTGGTTTTTTTTTAACCTGTGTCTTTCCAAAATGTGTGGTTGGGGTATGGCTGGATACACATACAGGGGCAGAATTTTCATGGTGCTCTTGAATCTTCCAGTTCAGATATAACCTACAGTACTGCTCTTTGGATCAGTGGCAGTAGGGTAGGAATCTGTCATTTGTATTTTGTGGACTAGATCTTTGTACTAGCCTTCAGTTATCTTTCCAGCTGCTGATGAAACAAAATCAGGAAGAGCCTTAGAGCTGATTTCTTCAGAATGGGATTGTATCAAAGACTGTTGATCATGTGGTGGAGGTTGTAGAACTGTGCCGGCCATAAAACTGTGTGCATCTTTTCTACACACAGTTATCCCACTCTGCTGAATATTAGAATAAGAGAGCCTTTGTTTAACCTAAAAAGGGTTTTGCAGAAAATTCTTTCATGTGAAAGCTGCCATTTTTCTATAATGTTTTGAAAATTGGTGTGGTGGAAAATAGAAAACAAACCTCATTATTGTGAAAACTTTCTCAAGCTATGCTAAATTTTTTTAATAAGCTTTTTAATTTTAGTTGGGATGTTTAGTTTTAGTTGGCTTTATTCCCTTTTTCATTCACTTCATTAAGAATGCCAGTCCTGCAACATAAATCTTTCTCTTTCTGCCTCTTGCAGCTTGAGTTTGCAGAATTCAGTGTCAGCAGTGGATGCCCTGATCTGAAGGAAGGCTTTGTGATACTTTAGCTTGAGAATGTTTCTTAAAAATGATGGAATGATGGAGTGACAGCCAGTTAGCTCACAAATTTCACATATTGTAGACTTCAGGAAGCAAAGTTGAGGCTACTTCCAAAAATAATGCCACTGGAAGGTGATGTTTCATTGTACCATTTTACTTGATGGGCATCTGCAGGACACCGTGTGGATGGCCTTCCCCACTCTGGGCACACTGATGACTTGCATTCAGCCTGTTGTGTACCAGCATCATGTGGTGTTCTCTGCAAAGCTATCTTCTACCCTTTTTGTCCTCCAGCCCACACTGGTGTGAGGAGTTATTCTGCCACAGGTGCAAGTCTTTGCATTTGCCTTTGTTAAACTGGATGGGGTGTCTGCCAGTCAAGGTCACTCTGGCTGGCATCCCATCCCTCCAGCATGTGAGTTGCCTCTTCGCTCCCTCCAACTTGGTGTTGTCCGGACTTCCTGAGGGCACATTCTATCCTGTTTTCCGGGTTGTTGATGAAGATACTAAATGATACTGATTCCAGCGTTGGCGCTGAGAAATGCTGCTCATAGCAGCATGTTGAGCTATCCTCTTTGAGCCTGATGGTGACTTTGAGCCGCTTTTCCAGCCACTTTCTAGTCTGTTTTTTCAGTCTAGTGTAGAACAAACTATATGTTTGTTCCAATGATAACGTGATAGGAGCTAAGCAGAAACAGTTGTTTCATGCAAGTGTTAGAAACTGAGAACTAAAGCCTGAAATAGCAAGGGATCTGTATTGCTTCTTTGTTAAAAGAGTTTGTTCAGCGTTTCTGAGAAACCACATCCTTTTGAAATACCGGGTTGGGAACCAGGGTTACTTTCAAAAAAGTAGACAGTCATTCTCCAGTAAACATCTTTCTTCCAAGGTAGTTTCATGGACTTTCTATGACACAGGTTCTGGTAGTTAACTGATAATTTCCAGGATTCTTGGGTCACATCCCACTTGAATTTTCTGGTCTTTTTAAAGATTTCATATAGTCAGAGATGGTATGCATTTTTGTAGTGTACTGGTTTTTCATATCTTCTGCATGCAGATTTGCATAATGCAGTCATGCATTGTCAAAATAACTCTAGCTCAAGTATTATGTTTCCATTGTCAAAGATATCTTCTCCTTCTGCTGTTAGGCTAGGCTAAACTGCATCCTTATTTTTATAGCTAAATGCATTTGGCATTGGTTTTTGTGACTTTATTATCTTTTTAGTTAAGTTATAAATGTGTAACTGGAGAATGTCTTAGTTACTGTGCTTGCAATAAAGAATATTTTTTAGATGAGAATTGTAGTTCTTTAGCAAAATAAATACGTAAGGTTTTTTTGCAAACTTGGCTTTAGTGTTGCAGATATTTTGCACAATGAAATCAGATTCTAATGTAGCTGTCAAACAGGAAAAATAATGTTTACTGGGTTTGTACCTTGACTTACTGTTGTGCCTAGAATTGGAGGAAAAAAACCACAACAGTTGCACAGAACAGAGTGATAGAAGAGGGACAATCATAACTGATATTTAGCTGCATTTTTAAATGTTCTTATTTATGTAGTGGGTAATACATTTTTGAATTCCTGTCATTTTTTCTATTTTCTGTTATAATTGCATATCAAACAATAATCTTTTAGTATTTTAAGTCTTTTTTGTGTATTAATTATATGCAGTAGCATCTGGTAAAACTGAATTATTTTACACTTCTTGCAACACCTTAATTTTTAGGGGCATGACAAGAGTAACAGTGGGTACTTTTATCTCTCACTGCAGGGAAATTTTTGACTAAAAAAGGATGTTTTTTTCTTTTGCTTCTAGATCTTTCAAAGAATAGATTTACTGAAATTCCTCCTGATGTGTGGCTGTTTGCACCACTGGAAACTTTAAATTTGTATCACAACTGCATCAAATCCATTCCAGAATCTATTAAAAACCTGCAAATGCTTACCTACCTTAACATTAGGTGAGTAATGCTTGTTATTTTTGGTCTTTATATAACTTCACTGGAGGGGGTGGCATTCTACTTCATCAGGTCATTGAGTGCACTTGTGCCCTCATGTTTTGCCCAGATAGATAAAATTATTCTGTTTCTTTGTGTTATTCTTGGTGTTGTAGGGCCAGCAGTTGTTGCTTCCTTTGTGGGGAGGAATTGACTGCATTGTGAAATTTCAGTCCGTAAATTATGGTAGCTGAGGATGAGGAGAATTTACAAAGTTTTCTTTGCTTTTAATGTTAGGCAGACAGACAATGTTTAGAAACTACACATGTAAAAATTTGCTGCTCTCAAGAGGGTAGGTTACTCTGTCCAAAAGGCCCTATTTTGCACATTATTTACATCCATTGCTGTATTGCTGTTCTTAAACTTGGAAAACATATGGTTGGATCTTCTCAGAAGAACAGAAGATTAATAAGAGCTCTGGAAGGAGGGGGAATCTAGAGGAACCCTCCCATAAAGAGCCGAGACCCTGTTTTCCACAGTATTCCTTGTTTCTTGCGTTGACTACATCAAGTCAGAAACAGTCTTCTTGGCTAAGAGCTATTCAACACGTGAGATTTGGCTCCAGAATTTATTTTGAAAAAACTTTGACTTGATCCTTGGAAAAGAAAAAAGTAAAGAACTACGTCTCGAAATCTGCAAATATCAGTACTTACAGTAATAATTTAAGAGTAGTCTGTTCTGTGGCAGTTCTAAAGAGGATTAATGATATGATAAAACTCGGTGTTTTCTGAAAGAAATTTGACGTAACTTTCTTCACAGAGCAGCAACAGCCCATTTCTCTTTTGATGGTAATTGAGGTGCTGAATACAATTCTTTACGCAGAAATAAAGTAGCGCATAGTTCTAAGTGGGCATTGCATGTTATTTCAAGAGTAGAATCTTCTAATCATCATTTGCCTTACTGTGCTTTGTCTTCATTTCTGTGCTAATGTCTGGGGACTGTTTTCACAATGCATGCACATGTGGGCTACGGTAGTTGAAGAACAGGCTAAAATCCTGGCTTACTAGTTTCAATATTTTGTTACAGAAGAAAACCGCATGATCTCAAATTCTAATTTTGGATTCAGATGGCTGGAGAAATGTATTGTGCAATTCATAGTAAAGTAGGCAGCTCTTTTAAAAAAAACAAAAACAAAACAGAGGGAATTTATTTCTGTTGCAGAGAATGACTGTTTCATTGCCACATTTTTATAATAAATTAAAGTTTACTTGCACATTATATTTTTGCTTCTCATGCTCTCTAACCAAAAAAGCCTGTCACATCTGCCTGAAATACAACATAAAAAAGGAGACTTATTGTATACCTGCATCCAAAACTTATTTGTATTGTTCACTTAGAATTAGCAGAATAAATACATTACTTTTATAAAGATACTGATAGAAGTTAGATTCATTTTATGGTATTAAAATTGCAGTACTACTTTGAAGCTGAAATGTTGCAAGAACAAATTTATTTTTGTTGGTTTTGCAGCCTTATAAACTGTAGTCATGGAGAAAAATAATGTAAAAAGCTTTGGTTTAAATATGACAACAGTGCTCTGGTACATATCAATTAAACAGTAAAACTTCTGGATTTTTCTTAATATAGTGTGAACATAAATGTCAACACTTAAGTCGTTTGTTTTTTTTAAAAATAGACTTCTGGAAATCTTCTGTTTTTCTTAATATAGTGTGAACATAAATGTCAACACTTAAGTCGTTTGTTTTTTTTAAAAAAAGACTGAAAGGAATTGCTTTCATACCACATATGAACAAGCTGGTTTTCCAATGGCTTTTTTAAATGTACAAGTACCTTATTAGAAAAATTCTATGTATTTCTGGCAGTGTGTCATGGTTTAACCTCAGTCAGTAACTGAGCACCACACAGCCGCTCGCTCATTCCCCCCGCCCCCCC